GGACACTGCGGCCCTGAGCCCTCCAGACCCCACAGGAGGTTCACAGGGGAGACACATACTTCTCCCCTGATGTCTTTTTACTGCACTCAGCACACCACACATCCACCTCCGCCTACAAAGACTCTGCAACCTACATTTGTGGTTTTCTTACTATTAAGAGTAAGAAATATACTCAATTCAGTGATAAAACAGGCATTGAGAGCCAAGCAATAAAATGCTTTACATGTAACACTCACCAAGTTCTCTGTCCCCAGAAAGGGGGAGGGAGGTCACAGTGCTCAATTCCAAGCAAGGACAACCATTAACAGCTACTAGTCCTGCTGGGCACTGACATTCTAGGTTCTGTTCTTGGATCACATGTACCTTTTGCAGAGGAGACCAGCCACCAAAAGTGGGTCCCAGCCACAGCCTTCCAGTACCCTGGAGCCGGGGCTGAAGGCACAGCTCTGCCTGACTGCCCAGGCTCTGAAGCCCACACCCATCACGGTCGTGGCTCTGGGACAGACTCGATCAGGTGGCTTCACCTTCAGCCCATCTGGGACTTCTCAGTCCAAGGCACCAGGTTCAAGCCAGGCAGCATAGATCTGAGGGCACCTCCCTGGAAGGGCTGAACACCACCACTGCTGTGTGCTTTTTCATAAAATGAGTGCCTGGTCACCATCACTGTGCAAGGGACAAGTGTGTAGAGAGTACCTACCCGTCTAGCATGAACTCCAGGCACAATCCACTGCCTGGTCCTTGAACACCAGCTTCATTTCCTGTCACTCCACTGAGCAGAAACACAGTGTATCTTCGGGAACTGGGAACTGGGAACTTGGGAAAAGGAAAGGGCAGGCCTGTCTGTTCCCTCTGCTTACACACATACTGTCCCAGTTTGTAGGCTCCAGAAAAGCGATAATGAGGCTGTCTTTTGTTACCAAGTAAATCCTCCCTTGGGGGTAAAGATCTGCTGCTTCTGAACATAGGGCTAATGCATAAGCTATAATATAAAACCAGCAGGTAGTACTGAAATTAAGAACTATGCCTTCTACCTCTAACAAAATTACAAAGTAAATAAATCTGGAAAAGAACCTTAAAACATGCAAAATGTACGTTATACTTACAGTATAATCATGTGTGGGCTTCAAATTCACTGGACCCATACCTGAATATATGGCAGGCCCACTTTTCATAGAGTAAGCATGGGGGATGCCCCACCAATTCTTGGGGTCTGGGTCACAATGACATACAGGAACCAACTGATTCTGCGTGTTTCGGGCAGGCCTGCGTGGCTCTAGGAATGTGAGCAGACTCCCTACAATCTCCCCACCCATCACTGGCACGTCCGACTGTCAGGTGACAAGCATGTTCGAGTATCGGCACACGGCTGCTCTCTTACTCTTCAACTGGTACCCTTGTTCTGTCACACCTGATGACATCACACAACTGTCCAACATTCTGAGAAGGCAGAGGAGCATCTGTTACTAATGACATTATCTGTAACACTGGTCTTCAAAACGCCTACACCACAACTCATGACTCTGATACTGAAAACTAACTGATAAGCCTCTAAGCAGGCAAATATTTACCTGCCACAGGGAAGCTCTGTCACCACCGCAAACCATCCTGGATGGTACTCAGCTCCCCAAGACTGGCCTGGCTCTGTAACGACCCCAAGTCCCTAGATGCCAATATACTGTGAGAAACCTTCATCTTGTTCTCTTTTTGCAGCTCTCGAGCGACCCATGGGTGCTGATTCACTCGGACTTCCATGGTACAAACCACACTTTCCTGCTTTCTGAGTGGAAAAGGGCCCTGTGCCCATGAACCATTACAACAGGCCCATAAATCAAGACCACAGGGAAGCCTGTTCCCGACTGCTCACATATACCGCTCATTTCAAGTTTAACTCTCTTGCCATGCTAATTAACAACAAACAGAAATTTAATTATGTTAGATGCTTAAATTTAACCCAAACTTGACTTTGAAGAAAAAAGACACACCTACGTGGAATAGGAAATAATGCTCAGGTTAAAATACTAGTATTTACCTGGACACAAGAGTACTTTTTCCTTAAAACTAGGATGCAAAGAGTTCAAAGCCTTTTGATACTCTTGTGCAAGATAAAACCTGGTCTTGGAGTTTCTGGAGACGGTCCTGCCAAGGTCAGGCTGTGGTTTACTCCGTAAGGTAAGCTGGCCCTGAAGGTCTCTGGAGCCCTGCAAAGTTCTGGGTGGTGGCAAGTCACTGTGTTCTCACAGTGTCTTGAACCCACATGGTTTGAGTCACAGGAACATGCTGGCCCATCTCCAAACCAAGAGCCAGATGAGTGTTCCAGGCCTGTCTCCAAAGGGTCCGTGGCAGCAGCCCTGCCACTTGGCCTGCGAGCACCAGCAGGTCTTTCCAATGGAAACCCCACTATGAAGGGAAATGTGCTTTTGTTTCTTGAGCTGTGGCCAGAAGGAAGGGCAACAGCATGATGTCAGGGCCTGTTCCAGCTCTGCTCCCCAAGTGCTCACTCAACACCATGCTCACAGGGCAGGGACGGGGGTTCCAAAGTCCAGCTCACCTGAGAAGTGGTTTCCAAGAGGTTGTCCCCCACAGAACACCCATTCTCTCAGGAAAAGCCCACAAAACACGCCTGGGGAAAGGGTGGACTGTTCTCTGTGAAGCCCCAAGGGTGGCATCATGTGATGAAGGTCATCACGCCGTCGCCACACAGCAGCAGCGGCGGCCCGGCTTGTTAAGGACAGTCACTAATACCTTAAAAAAAAAAACCACCTGCAAATGAATCGTTTTTGCGAGTAAAAGCAGTAGCTAGAAGGAAGAGGGGACATCAAGTCTCATTTCCCATGCTTCAAAAAACCACTGTTGGCTGCTAAGAACTGGGGAGTTTATAAATCCAAATACCCTATCCCCACACCCAAAATGTATTTTCTGCCATTGACTTCAAACACCCCATCACAGAAGAACCCAGGGCTGTATGTCTGCAGCACCCTTGCTACAAACCATGGACCGAGCAGGAACGGGAAGCAGCTGCCCTGCCTTCTCGCTCAGGCACGGCTTCACACGTATCAAGTACTCCTCTGTCCCTCGAGTCCCACCATCGTCTGACCACACTTACAGGACATGACAGCAGCAGCCAAGTGTTTGGTTTTTACACTTTGGGCTCAAAGACATTCCTTTTAGCCATCCCCTAAAAGCCTCAGCTGACTGTGATGAATTATAGATCAAACGCACTAAAGATGGTCTTAAACTTTTAATGCACCCAGACATGCCCATTCCAACTTGCTTCTTCTAAACAGCCCACAGACCCAGCAGAAACAGGCAGAGGTGAGACCGTGACTTTGATTTTAATTTGAATTTCTCGTGGAAATGTTTCTAGGTACCCAGAAGAATTGGTAAAGAACTTCTATTACAACCTTCAAATACAACTGGGTTCCTATCACAATTTGCTACAAAGACTATCTCCCTCCCCACATATCAAAACAGCCAGAAAACAACAAAATGCAAACAGTCCAAAGTCCTCCCCTATCAATAATTACCTTAAACATAAGTGGATTAAATTCTCCAATAAAAATACATAGAATTGAATGGATTAAAAAAAACCACAAGATCCTGCATGCCACAACTAAGATCCAGGATAATCTATGGAATCAAAGAAAACATTTGCAAATCATTTATCTTACAATGATAAGGGGGTTAATATGACCATAATACATAAAGAACTCATACAACTCAGTAGTAGTCAAAAAAAAAAAAAAACCCCACAAATAATCCAACTGAAAGATAGGCAAAGGACCCAAACAGACCTGAATAGACATTCATCCAAATAAAATACACACGTGACCAACAAGTCCTGAAAAGATGCTCAACATCATTAATCAATGAGGCGTCTCAGTTTCACATCTTCTCATGATATATTTTGGGGCTTGGGTATAAGAAACAGGTAAGATGACACTCAAATCAATGAGAAGTAAAGACAAAGGATAAAAATTAAAACAACAAAATGGCTCCCTGTCATGTGTACAAAGTAGTTACTGCTCTGGGTTATCATTACGCCTTTTTTGAGAACACCAAACCCTATAATTCACTAGCTTCAATATTTGATGTGAGGACCGTATCAACCAACCCAAAGAGCCCCTACAAACCATAAACAAGCAGAGAAGGAAAATGGGTCATTTACAGTAGAATGCTGGAATGACCACAGATCTCCCCAAAAGTCATGACAATTCTTAGGAACCTACATATGTGGTAACAGCTCTTGTGAGCTCAGTCAGTGAGAACCTCGGGGCCAGGCGCCAACAGGGCTGAGACACCGTAACACAGACATTCAGGCTGGTGGGTAGACTCAGTCCATGCTTGCCGTAAACGGCATGACAACAAGACTTGGGAAATCCAGGAGACTAAACAGTGACTTATCCTTTTAAAAGAAAGCATTAAAAATCACGCCAAGTGTACCTTTATTGCTTCCCTTGCTAACAACAGGCACACCTTGGTTCCACCTGTGAAATCCACACGCTCAGTGACACAGCCCAGACCACGGTCATCAACAACATTCCAGACCTGCACCTGCAGGACTCAGAGACCGCCTGCAACCGCCAAGGACGGAAAGAAGCCAAATGAAGTCAGCGACGTCTTAGAGCTCCTTCTACAATGGTTTTATTATAAATATGATCTTTTGGAATAAACAAATATTGCATTCAAGACTACCAGCAAACTTGTTCTAAAGTAGTAAAAGAGGGGAAAATGGAACAGGAGCCACTTAGAAGTAGCGATAAATAGCAAAGATGCCTGCACGCCATGCTGAGCGCCGCTCCCCCGAGCAGTGACGAGGGTCGCAGGGGACGGCACAGTTCTCATTAGCCCGTTGAGGAAAACGAGCTTCGAGTCTGGTAACGTGCCCCAGCTCTGTAACCTGAACTGCTCCTCTCGTCGGGCCTGGGCAGGAGGACAGGAAGACGGTCAGCCTGCAGACGCCAGCGCCAGCGGGGGAGAGCTCGACGTGGAACCCTGGGCGCTCACTGCTTGCCGGGCGCCATGTCAGAGTAGTCCTTCAGCAGCCCGGCCAAGTGCTCGTTGTGCGCCTTGAACCGCCGCCGCCGCTGCGAGGCGGGCTTTTTCCTCCTCGGGACCGGGGCCTGCGGGGAGAGGCGAGAGCGGACATGACGGCCGCTCAGCGCGGCGATACAGGCAGGACGCGGCGAAGGCGTGCGGGGCTCTGTGACCTTCCCTCTGTTCCTCGACCCAACCTCTCTCTCACTCACTCACTCACTCACTCACTCACTCACTCACTCACTCACTCACACACACCCCCCCAACCACAAACCACACACACACACACACACACACCCCAACCCACAAACTTCCCTCTGTTCCTCGACCCAACCTCACTCACTCACTCACTCACTCACTCACTCACTCTCACTCACTCACTCACTCACTCACACACACACACACACCCACCCACCCACCCCCAACCACAAACACCACCAGCGGTTTCCCTTACAGTGAAGTGTGTGCGTCCCCCTGGAAAGAAGGGGCTGGCACAACAGCTTACCACAACTACGCTGGGCACTAAGTGGGTGAAAAGAGGCAGTATAGCTCTCTTGTTTTTCATCTCTATTATCAGGTTTAAAACAGCTTATCCACCATTAATTACCCGTAAAACAAAAACCTGAAGCAAATACAACAAAGTACAGAGATACAGCAAAATCGGGGAGTGAATGGGCACAGAAAGAGTTGTTAGGTATTATTCTCTTTACTGCATCACATTAAAAAAAAAAATCAACAAACTAAGCAATGATAGGAAACCATGAAGTGCTGCAATCACACTAATTTTTAGAGATTATCAGCAATAAATTTTCCCCTTAAAGGAGTCCTAAACATCACCAAATAAAATACACGCACACACAAGTCATAAAGAAGACAAGCTACAAGGCATGATGGTGGCCAGGGGAAGGGGGGTGTTAGTGAAATATCCCTCATCCTGGCTTTGTCTCTGGACTGCAGAGAGCTGGTTAGCTGGTACAAGGCAATTCACAAATCTTCATCCGGCTACAAATCCTTCTAAATGAGCCAGATCTGGGGTTATCACGACAGTAAAATCTGGTTCCTAAAGGATCTGAGCGTCACCAAGGACAACTGAGTGTGATCAGCGCTAAAGCAAAGTCTGGCACCAGCAAGAAGCAGGTTGGGGGATGAAGATCAGGAAGGCCAGGGGGGTGGAGCAGGCTCCCAGTAGAAACCAGGAGGACATCACGGGGATGCCGGAAGTCCACGCAGCTGCAGCAAGAGCAGGCACTGCCAGGACAGGGGCGGGGCAAGCGGAGAAGCACTCACGTTACCCGGGGAGCGGCACCTGAAGGCAAGGAGCATACCAGCCACGACCTGAAAGCACCTGACCAAGGTCAGAAGGGGAGGACATGGAGGAACAACTCCAAGGAAGAACCAGCCACCTGCTCTTCCCAGGGCTGCACAGGAAGCAGGCCGACAGTTCAAAGGGCACAGCGTCACCTTCTCTCCCAGAGACTACATACCACCTTCTTTGGTCCGGAGTCCTGCATGGAAGAAATTCCCTGTCGCTTCAGATACTCTTCAATTTTCTCCTCGTCCATTGAATCCACGGTGACACTCCTCCACAGTTTCTGAAACTCTGAGCCAACAAGAAGTAGTTACCGTACAATAGACGTTCACAAGCTGCAACATCTTGGTGATCAAAATCAGGCTTCCATATTATCTCCTCTGATCTGCATTGGCACATCTGAGATTTCATCATAAAAATGAAGGAAGACGGGAACACTCAGATGCTGGACATTGAGCAGGAAAGGGCCTGGGAGCGCGAGCTGCATCCCTAGGCCAGCTCAGCACAGCTCTATTTTTAGAGTCTACAAATGAAGGGCCATGTGATTGGGGCCTCCCCGCTTTCCGGGGAAGAAAGGCAGTTGACACTCTCCTTTTATCCCCAAAATCAGTTCTCTCCACTGAAACAGTTCAAATTCCTGCTCATCTCTCATGAGCCCAGTACATCCCACTTTCTCTCCTATGGGAGAGAAACACACAGGGAGGTGAGGAGCCAAAGTTTTATATGAGAGTGTAACAGTCTATTTGCAAAAGAGCCTTCTGAAATCAAATAAACCAGGAATGGGTGACTACGAGGGTCATCAAAGTGAAGGGAGGGAGGCTGAGACAGTAACTCTGCAAAACAGGACAAAGACCTTCCTACACCTTGTTCTCGGAGACCCTTGACCCCTTTGCCACATCACTATTTTTGCAAACAAAAGAGATCACAATTGGGACGTGTCCAGAATGAAACTCACGTGCATCTTAAATTCTGTCCCTAAAGACAGGCCCCTTTCTAAGTGGCACCAGTGGTAAAGAACCCGCCTGCAAATGCAAGAGGAACAGAAACTCAGGTTAATCCTTCAGTCGGGAAGATCCCCTGGAGAAGGAAATGACAACCTACTCCAGCACTCTTGTCTAGGAAATCCCATGAACAGAGGAACCTGGCGGGCTACAGTCCATGGGGTTGCAAAGACTTGGACATGACTGAGCATACATGGAACAAAGACAGACTCAGACAGCCTGCTTTCACTTTATCATTAACTTGCCAATGCACATCATCTACTCGCGAACACACAAAAAGTTTATGATGGAAAATCAGAAGATGAATGTACTCTGAAGGACAAAAAAAAAAGAAAAGGGAAAGTTCCCTGGGTGCCCGGAGGTGAGCGTTCTGCTCAGATCAGGACACACACACACAGACACAGCCCATCCCCTCACCCCCCGCCACAGGATCTGGAGGCCTAACCCAGGCCGCGCCAGCACCCCCCACCCATCCCTGTCACTGCAGAGCCCTCAACCTTCAGGGAGACTCGGCCGCAGTCCATTCACAAGCTGTAAATAAAATCAGCACACAATACCGCTGGACCAGACTCTTCTCTTTCCTGTCTCAATACAAACTACAGGAGGCAAACCATGCCCTAATAGCTGGGGTGCCAGTCATATTTAAGAAATCTGTCTTGACAAAACTTTGGTTGTTGACAATGACCAAATGCAAAAATGACAGTCTCCTACAAAGAATTCAACTTAGGCACAAAGTGTTTTGGGGGTTTTCCTGTTTGTTTTTTTAAATATTTATTTGGTCGCACTAGGTTTTGGCTGTGGCACTCGGAATCTTTAGTTGCAGCATGCACAACCTTAGTTGCGGCCAGTGGGGTCTAGTTCCCTGACCAGGGATCGAATCTGGGCCCTGCGTTAGGAGCGCAGTCTTAGCCACTGGATCACCTGGGAAGTCCCCAATCTGAGCACAAAGTTATTTCTAAATAAAAATATTCTACATTTCTATAGATACATTAGGGGCTCATTCTCTTGTATGTTCCCTGAACTTCCATCTGCATAGATTCCAGAAACCACTTAACGGGTGGCAATTGTTTGTTTGCACGACTTTCTCAGCCTCTTGAAGCTCCTTAGAAGGGGGAATTCTATTTCGTAAGTTTTCCGCTATGGTTGGCGCTGAACTTATTTACTAGCACATCCTCAACAATCTGACCACTGAAAGTATGAAATGCTATTGTCTGGGCATCAGAGAGCATCTGTTTTCCTTTTACATTTTTTAAACCTCAGTTGCATCATTAGTATACCCAATTCCAGGATGTGCTTTGACCCCATTTTTCCTAATGTTAACACTATATAACCTTAACAAAACTATTTAAACTAATACAAGCCTATTAACTGAGCCATTGACCTTATTCTCTCATCACCAGCTTTAGCAGCAACATCCCCATCCTGGCCCAGGACCCCACTGTGTTTAGTTGCTGTCTCCTTGCTCCAGGCTCAAAATACATGCCCAGTCTCTCTGCTCATCTCTCAGGACTGTGACACCTTACAGAGTTCCGAGAGTTATTTTATAAAATGGCCCTCAGTGTGGGGTTGTCTGATACTTCCTCATGATTAAACTGAGGTTCTACCTTCTGGGCAAGAACATCACAGAGATGATACTGTGCCCTTCTCAGGGCCTAATAACCTCAAGAGTCCATGATGCTCACATGTCTTTTTACTGGGGCTATTAGACTGATCGCTGGTTAAGGTGGTGTCTATCAGATTTTTCCACCATGAAGCTATTATCTGTCCCTCTGTAGTTAATAGGCATCCCATGGAGAGATTCACTAAGACTATGCAAACTTACTGCTTCTCTGCATACTTTAGCTCACTAATTTCAGCATCCATCGATGCCTCTTGCCAACTACAATTGTTAATTATGGGTTTGCCTAAAGGCACATTATTTTCATTGTTCCTTTCATACATGTGGATTAGAATTCTGTTGTAAGGGAGGAGACTATTCTCCATCAAATCTACTCAATTAACTTAGTATGGATTTTTGGATATTTATTTTACTTCACATCAATGGATTATAATCCATTACTATCCTGTCCTACTTGAAGCTAAGATTGAAAACTGTGTAACAAAGTATGCCAGGAAGGAAAGAAAATAAGCAAATTCTTTAATAAGGTTTTGCTTAAATTCCCAAATAACTCATGCATATTTTGGCTGCACCCAAAGCTTTCTTGTGACATACAAAAGCAGCAGAGTAGAGTATGGAGCCACACGGCCTGCGTGTGGAACCCAGTGACCTCATTTGACTATGTCCTCAGATGGTAAAGAATCTGCCTGCAATGTAGGAGACCTGGGTTCGATCCCTTGGTCTCCAGGGAAGATCCCCTGGAGAAGGGAGTGGCAACCCACTCCAGTATTCTGGCTTGGAGATTCCATGAAGAGAGGAGCCTGGTGGGCTACAGTTCATGGAGTAGCAAAGAATTAGAGATGACTGTGCGACACACACACACATGAGGGAGGTTATTTAACCTCTCTGCCTCAGTTTCCTGATTTGTAAAAATGGGATGATAATATGTATTTCACAGAGTTGTGGCAGATAAATGGGTTTATATAAAACACTGAGTTTAATGCCCACAAAGGAAAAAGCACTATCTATGTCTTTCAGTTCCATTATCATCTGACGTTGATCATTTCTTATTTCTGAGTGCTAATGCCTTTAAGGAAAGAATGACACATCTGGGCTCAACCCATGTTGTTGAGCATGTCAGCTCTTTGTTCCTTTTTATTTCAAAGTTGTATTCCACTGTAAGGATATACCATACTTGGGAGCGATGAAGGGACAAATTAAAGGGCATTTGAGTTTCCAGATTTTGGAGGAAATGAATAAAATTGATATGCACATGGATTTTGAGCAAACCTGGGTAAAAAGTTAAGAGTGGGATGACTGGGTCATGCAATTATACATATCGTAATGCAAAAATAAAAACAACACTAGACACACATCTCACACTATATGCAATTAATTCAAAATGATAAAAAAAAATCTAAATGTTAAGAGCTAAAACAGTAACTCTCTGAAGAAAAAAACTGGAGTAAATCTTTGTATTGTTGGACTAGGAAATGGTTTCTGAGATATGACATCAAAAACACAAGCAACAAAAGACAAATAAAATGTATCTCATCAAAATAAAAAACTTTTGTACCTCAAAAGATAAAAGAAAGTGAAAAGAAGATCCACAGAATGGAAGAAAATATTCACAAAGTATAAATTTTGTAAGAGACTTGTATCCAGAATAAAGAACTCTTTAAAATTCTGTAATTTAAAAAAGTTTAAAATGGACAAAGAACTTAAACATTTTCCAAAAGACAATACACATGTATAACTGAATCACTTTGTTGTACACCTGAACTGTAAATAAACTATACTCCAATAAAAAATTTAAATAAATTTAATAAAAAATATATAACTGGCCATTAAACACATGAAAAGATGATCTTTAGAAAAATGCACATCAAAACCACAATAAAATTCCATTTCACTAAATGGTATCTTAAATAGCTAAACTCGGTGTTGGCAAGGATATGGAAAAACAGTTCCCTCGTGCACTGCCAGTGGGAATGTAACATGAGGCAGCTACTTTGCCAAACAGCATGGCAACTGCTCAAAAAGTTAGCCATCGGAATTACCACACAATCCAGCAATTCCACTCCTATACTTAAAGGAAAAATTATGGCCACACAAAAACTTGTACATGAATGTTCACAGTAGCATTAATCAGAACAGCCAAAAAGCAGAAACATCTCAAATGTCCATCAACTGGTGAATGCATGAATAAAGTGTTATATCCAAATGCAATGTTTTTTTGTTTTTTAGTGGGGTTTTTTTTTTTTTTGGTAATGTTCTTTTTAATGTAAGCATTTAATGCTCTATTTCACTTTCAGCACTGCTGCAGCCGCATCCCATGAATTTTGATATATTGTGCTTTCACTTTCATTTAATTCAACATACTTTTTTTTTTTACTTCCCCTGTGATTTCCTCCTTGAACCATGAGTTATTTAAAGTGTTATTTGATTTCCAAATATTTTGGAGAGTTTCCAAATATAGCTGATTTCTAGTTTGATTCCATTATGATCCAAGCACATCCTTGGTTTGCTTTCAATTAAGGTTCTGTGGTAGAAAACCGTCTGTCTCGGTGAATACTCCAAGTGCACTGGAAAACATATACACTCTATTGTTGGGTCATCTCATTTTATAATAAATGTCAATTAGGCAAGTTGGTTAATAGAGTTAAGACTTTTATACACTTACTAATTTTCCA